ATATTAAACAAGCAAAATAACATCCATATTGTTTGTTTGATTTATAGGGAATCTGAAATAAAAATATTTTAACATTTCAGGCACTTCTTGAAAAAATATAAAGAATAAGTATTTATGAAAAGGATTATGAATCCTTACACACTCTTTTTGTACATGGAATTTCTTATTTTTTAAAATATGATACATGTAGTACTTTTTTCTATTTTACGTTTAATAAAAAGGATTTTTACTCAAAATTTTCTACTGTATGTCGTACTTTGAAATCGATATTTAATAAATATATTACATATATTTGCAGACTAAATGTTCTATTTTTAATTACAAACTATATAGTTTGTCCGTCGTTTGTCTGTCGGTTCGCTTGAAGTATATTTGTGAAACTTTCAGAGAAAGATAAAAATCGATTAAGATTTTATATAAACGTGAATTTAGGTTCTATTTTTAAGTTAATGTTTATTTTTTATATATTGGTTTGTATTGTCTATACTTATAAAACCTGTAGGTAAGATTCATTTTCGACAAAGAAATTTGGCAGGAAATGGAACATCTTTAATGTCTATTCTTTTACAAAATATGAATTGTCTACTACAAAAAGTTATGTACTTTTGCGGGTTCCAGTAAATGTTCAACCAAGCCTCTTTCGTTACTCCTCACTAAATATTGACAGCTGTGAAGGAAAAGCTTCAAGAGTACTGTGCAACAAGATATTCAAGAAGTGGTGTGAATCAGATTTGGATACTCAAAAGTCCAAATAACTTTTGGACAATTTGAAATCACAAGATTTTACCAAAATCAACAGCTTAAAGACTTTTCAACTATAGACACAATCATTCCCCACGATAAATTAAAAGCTGGGCTTTTTCATATCAATGACAGCTTTTTTTTCAATAAAAATGGAACTCTTAAATTTACTTACCTGGGTTATAGGTCATTTGCAAAATTATTTTGTTAAAACACATTCTGATTGCACACATAAGTACTCTGAAGTTGACATCAAAGAGATGCTTGAGTTTCTGATTGAAAATATCTATGTGGTTTTTGGAGACCAGGTATTCCAACAATCTATTGGAATTCCCATGGGTACCAATTGCTTTCCGTTATTAGCGGACCTATTTTTATATTCACATGAAGCATAGTTTGTGCAAAATCTTATGCGTGAAAAGAAGAAAACACTCGCTGTAGCCTTCAAATCGACATTTAGATATTGTCAATTAACAATAGTAATTTCCATTCATACGCCGATACAACATATACTGGTGAGCTTTAGATAAAAGATACCACAGAGTCTGACAGATCTGTTTCATACTTAGATATTTTACTTGAAAAATACGTTAATGGCAATCTAACAACCAAGCTATATGAAAATGTGATGACTTTAACTTTTCTATCGTCAAATTCCTTTACGTACATGTATGCAGCAATATACCTTCATCACCTGCATACGGAGTATATATATGTAAGTTGGTTCGATACGTACCTGCATGCTCTACTTATGAACAATTTCTAAAACGAGGTAAATTATTTACAAACAAGTTGATGAAACAAGAATATCATCAGTCTCATTTAAAGTCATCATTTCGTAAGTTCTATGGTCGAAACAATGACCTTGTTAGCAAATACAATTAATCATTGAGTCAAATGCTGACTGACGTTTTTCATACTTATTGTTAGTCCATTATTTAAACACAGAATTGACGACTGATTTTCCCGTTATTTCCCAATTTTGACACACGGCGGGTGTGACCGGTCAGCAGGGAATGCTCACTCCTCCATGGCACCTGATCCCACCTCTGTTGATTCGGAGGTCCGTGTTTGCTTTGATCCTATTTTGTATTGTTTTGTAGACTTTGAGATTGAATACTGTTCGTTATCTCCATATCTTTCTCTTCATGCACTCATATTTGCTACATAATGAAGTTTAAAATATGAAAAAAATAACAAAAAATAAAACTGTTTAAATAAATATTCTAATTAAGATATGAGAAACATTTGCTTCACTAATATTGAGTAGTTGGTATAACTTAAAAAAAAAATCCAAAATCAATATGAGGGTGTGCGTGTAATTCATAAAGGTTTGAAGAAAGTATGCAAGGAAAAATGGTCGACATTTTCAAACGCAATCAATCATTTCTTTTATTTCTTTTTCCAATAACCAATATAGATTCCTTATTATATATATATTTGTATATATTTTTTAATTACATGTACATGTATACCATATGGTTTTTTTTTATTTAAGAGAGCCTGGGTCTTTGAGCAGTATTATATAGAATGTACATTAAATTCGAATTTGACAAATATGCTCAATATCAAAATAATTCCTACTTTTCATTCTGAGAGCATATAAATTTAACAGTCCATAGAAAATACTGCAATTCCAATGCTGCTCCAAACGTAATAAGTAATTTGAACGCCGTTTAAAACTTAAAACGAATAAAATTTTAATATGACTTTATCTTAAAAATGACAATATTGATGAAAATAAATTGTTCGGTTTGCAACACAGGACCAGGACCTTTGCAAGGATTTTGTTTAAATTCATTTATTTTTTTTTTGGTCCCAGAGCATAGATTCCCTGCAGCAAGGCACTGTATTTTGAGAGTCTCTTTTCAAGCTTCAAGTACCATTCACAGGCCTGTTTTCACACCACAATAAGTAAAAGCCCAAAGATTATTTCAATCTTACAAAAAGACGTTTAAGATCTTAAAAGGGTACATCTTAGTTTAAATCATTTGTTATTTTTGGCAATTGTTGTTGACGCCAATATAGTTGAGTATACATGTAACTAGTATTTTTCTATATTGTTGGATCTCAGTCAATAAGAAACCTCTCAATAACTTTTACATTGTCTGCGATTGGTTTTTGTGGAGTCAAAGGAATGAAAAATAAATATAAGAAGTCGAAACAGTGGAAGAGACAGACTCTGACATACAAATCAACTTGAGCTGCAATATCAGAATGGATATCATATAATACAGAATTCCAATGTTCCAGATTCCGGTTAAATCAATAGTTCCTGCTATTCCATTTCTTGGGTCAGATTAACCCGATTTCGTAACCATGGCTAAATAACTTTTAAAAACTTAAATAGTAGATTTTACAGGAGAAAGAAATAAAATAGATCGAACAAATAAAAAGAAACACACATGATAATACTTGGCATAAATGAAATGAAGGGGAAGCATAATTTTTTATCTTAAAAAATGATTATAATAATAAAAAACGTGCTAATGAAAGAATTTATTGAAATATCAAATATGTTGAGTAATAATATGATTCAACTGTAAGATGAGAATGAAAGTAAAACATTTAAGATATCAAAAAATATGTAGCAGAATCTCTTTAATCCGGGCGCTTGACCTTCGGAGATATATTTCTGATTAACAAATTCCGTATAAGTGGAAATTTTAGCGAGACGCAAATTAAGCGATTTCTACCTAAAATCTGATATTTTTTTTTTTTAGCCAGAAGTAATTTTAGAATTTAAAATGCTAACTAAAGAAGCTTTTACAAAAAATACGCAATTAATTTTTAGCGATATTCAATTTTAGCGATGCCAGCACCCTCGCTAATAATGCCAAAATTAAATCCTCGCTAATAATGCCACTTATACGGTATCACTTCTATATCCACTAATTATAAAAAAAATCATTCGATATGCTTGTGAACATAAGTGTCCGGATAAATGAGGTTCAACTGTACAGATAACATGAGGCTAATTATAAACAAAGCAGTTTTAATTCAATATTATAAGCGAAAACTTAAATTCATCATCTATTTTGATTTTGAAGATGAAAAAATAAATGGTTCATTTACTATGAACATATATGGTAACATACAATTTATATATTTTTTTAAAATAAATGATTAAGTATTAGTATAAAGTATACATCTCGAATATGAAATAATTCAGTACAAGTATTTTTGACACATACCGACCAAACGTTTTGATTTTTGTTTAATCTTTTCATATATAAAAATATCTTAAAATATAGTGAAAATATTTTCCCTATGAATTTCTAAATGTTAGTTAAGTTGAAACGTTCCTTTAATTTACATTTGATGACAACCTAATGAATTAGAGAAAAACAACGACTTAAGGTTCGTGCAAAACGAATTCTTATTACAAAAATTATGTTTAATATTTCTGATAGTAATTAAAAATAGAACAATGAATATAAGTAAAAAAATAACTTTATAAAATTTATTAGAGCTCTCTGATTGCATTTCACTGTACTACATGTATCATGAACTATACTTCATCGGCCGTGCATTAGTGTGCGTGTATATTTAGCAGCACGCAAAGACAGATGACAACATTAAAATAGTTAACATGTATGCACCCTCTATCCCAATAGGATAACAACTGCTGGACTATTCAGTATAGAGTCAAATGAGTAAGACCGTGAAGTCTTTTATATATCCAATGTGTGTTAAGTTTCATCTGTTTTTAAATAGATATAAACATAAACCCGTTTTCATGTCACACCCCGTATCTACCCGACACACCAGTATTACGACGAGAGCTTTAGACTGATTTAGGATATGATGAGGAAAAATGGTATGCTTTATTTCAAACTCAGTAGTAACATGAATAATTTATGCACAGTTTAATTTTATTTGACAATTACTTTTAAAAATACTTCTTACAAGGAGTTCAGTAGTAAAAAAATATTAAAAATTTGCACAATTTCTTTTCCATCAAAAGTAAATATTTAATCATGATTAAACATATTTTATCACTGTTTGATCAGTGTACTTTTCCCCGGGGGAACAAGGAAGAAAAAAAAAGGTCCTAAGTGATTAGAAGTTCTAGAAGAAGTTCATACAGATTCTTAATGCAGTTTAAAATATAAATTTGATATAAACCTGTAAATATGCAGTAGTAATTAAGAATTATTTTTAATAATATTGATATTGCTTTACAACAGCAAATCATTTATTTTCTCTGGAATCGGTAAAAAAAAATAACTTTTTATAAAAGATTTACATGTACATATAAAGCAGATCAGTAGCATGTTACACCAGCACCCTCGCCGTGATTACAGTTTTTTTTCCCATAACCATTGTGGCTACAATCAAAGATGGATGACTCAGTCCCCTGACAGTCGACGTCAACTAACCATATTGTTCCCGATCCTCGTCCAAAATAGGCACTTTGGTGAGCAGTAGAATGTCTATGAAATGAACACGCAAATATAGAATCAAAGTATGCCGTTAATAACTGCATAGTATATGTAAAAAATAAATACACATGCAATAAATATTTACCCTGAATATCCCAGACTTCTACACACAACACATGCATCCCTGTAGTCCCAGCTGTCATCACACACAGTGCCCCATGTCCCGTTGATAAACACCTCTACACGCCCTTCATTACTTTTCCTTCCATCGACAAGTCTGATGAATCCTTTTATAAGCATGTGATAGATAAAAAGACCAGATTTAAACGGAATTTTAAGATATTGTTGTTTATGTTTTGCATATACTTGGATTTTCATCAACAGCAGCAAAGGCTTTCATTTCCATGTTAGATTTTTCGTTTGATAATATCGATTCAAAATTAGTGATAAAAATATTCTATAGATGAAGGCTGATAGCGACGCTGCTGTGTGGAGTAAAGTAACTATTCTTATGCTTAACATGACGATGTTCACTTTGACTTTGTTTAATACATGTATATCATGTTCATTAAAATTTTCAGAGGAAAATTAAATACTGAAACGTACATCACTTTCTCTATTTAAACTAGAAATATGCTGTTGACATGTTTCAGGGTTAATTTGTCTGTTAATTTTATTAGGATATTATCCTATGTTATTTTAAGTCACGGGCATTAGGCCTAACATACTAAAATTTATATAACATATATTAAACATAAGTTGTCGTAGCCAGTACTAACAATCTGTAAGTGAAACTATACTCTTCAAAAAAAGAAACGCATCGTAGAATTTTAGTGACACATTGAACATAGATATTCTTTAGTAAAATGATGCATTGATAAAACAGAAATGTGGTACGCAATAGGAATACTATCTAAATGTCATAATTACTCAACACTTTTAAAATTATAGTCAGTTTAAGACCATTAAAGATCAATATCTGGTATGCCCCCCACAGACACAAATTATAGCCACAAACGGCATCTAATGGAAGCAAACGTGTGTAATAAAAACTGTTTAGGAATACTCTCCCACTCCAAATGTAGAACTTTAGTAAGCTGTTGCAGAGTCTGGGGATGCGATTGTCTTTAGCAAATCATTTCAATCCATTTTGGCCAATGCTGCTTAATTTGGATTAAATCTAGCGATTTAGATGACTGTGACTGAAACAGGTTGTTGTTTCTTTGCAAGAATAGGTGTGTCAAATGAGCCATATGTGGCTGTATATTGTGAGATTGCAATACGGCTCTAAGATGCTGCATAATTGAATGGGTATGTGTAGGTAGAACATGGTTAGAGTACCTTTTTCAATCAAAGTCTATTGAATTCGAACCAAATCAATCTTACTTTCTTATAATACCATTTTCCATATCATTACACTACCACCACCAACTTTTTTAACGTCCTGGAGGCAGTTATCTATCTAACCTTCATTAAAAAGCATAAGCACTCTTAAACTTATAAGAGGCTTTCAGATAAACATTCTGGACTATTAGGTTAACCAAAATGTTCAGCAGTGATGTTGTGGTCATACTCTATTCATCTGAGATCTTTGAATTCGATATTTGGGGTGTTGTGGGGTCGGAACAATGACATGAAAAATCCTCTTGCAATAATTCGTAGTCAACTGAAAACGGTCTTGTTAGATGATCTGTTCAATTCAGGGATAGCTAATGCATTAGATGACGTCCTTGCATTACATTCATGCAATTTGCGTAATCCTCGGAAGTGATGCTGTGCTGCTGATGTCACACGTAGTCTACCATATTTTTTGCGAACATTGGATGTTCGATGTTAATGGTTTACGTTTTATAGGTTAGATATGGTTTGTGTGTAACATTTAAACCTCTTGAAACTGTAGATTGCGGTACCCCTGCTTCCAGTCGCCCATTTTCCTTTTTGTGCCACGCAACATTTAGATGCAGCAATTTTTGGAGGCGTCATTTTTCGGATAAAACCAGATTCAAAATATCGAGAACCCCCGCTTTTGATAGCCCCTTTGTATCTGAAGGAATTGCATCGGAGTTCAACAAATGAAAATTGAGATCAAAATGTTGGGGAAAATTTTGCAAAATTGGGTCTTTTTGTCTGTGAGACTTGTAGAATAACTGTAAAGTTAACAATTGCATTAAAAAATCATTCATTTCACTCGAATACATCGTATTCATACAAAAATAAAAGGTATGACAAAACTATCAAAACTTTATAGGGCATTGTTCCTACTATGCGTTTCTTTTTTTGAAGAGTATATATTAGTGTGTCATATACGCTAGTCAACAAGAGTTCCATTTGCCAAAACGCCCACTTGAGTTACCGTAGTCCTTAGTAATTTCAACAAACTTCAATCTGAACTCTAGATCTGATAATAGTTCTGTTCTTTAGAATAAATATTTTAAAGATTTCTACCATAAACTCCCATGTTTCATTAATACAATGGATGGGAAAAGTTCTACGAGTGTACATTATGAACACAAAAGCGTATTGTTTTAAATAGGTTATAGGCCCCAAACTGTCCAATCTGTGAGAGGAAAGAACTATTGTCAGCCAAACGGTCATCTAACAGTACTTTCTATTCACAGAATGGACAGTTTTTTGGCCTATAAACTTTGCGTGGACTGTCTCGGGTGAAGGTTGTTTACAGTAAAAAAAAAAAAAGAAATAAATTACATTCATTGAAATTGTTAACTTAATAGACAGTTACAGATAAGTGCAATTTTCAACAAACTGACTTAAGCACATTTAAGCACAAGGCACGAGAACTCCAACACCATTTTGTTGTGACTGTGAATGTTAAAAGCATGCCTTCTTCCGAGGGAGAAATCATATTTATATTACACAACAAATAACGATATGAAATGCAACGCATATGGATATGTCAATCTAAAGTGAAAATTTGATTTTGAGCATAAGATTGTAAAGAAAATGAACTTTGAGCTCAAAGCGGACTTTTTTTTCAAATAAACTCAACTTTTTGTCAAGGAATTTATTTCGAGTATACAGAAAAAAAACAAACAAAGGAAACATAGAAAGATTTCCGGACTGAAGGTATTTCTATCCTCCTATGATGTCACAGGTTTTTGCAAAAAACTATTATTAATTTAAATTCATCCCAAGTAGAACAATTATTTTTATAAGAATGCTTTTCAATAGTTGTAATGATAAATATGGTTCAGTAATATAATTTTAAACATGTTTATTTTCTTTTTTAAATCAATTATTCCATCTTTGAAAAGTGTTGACAAGGGCAATAACTCTTTCTCAGGTATCTTTATTCATGAATTTTATTCATTGTACTTCTTATGTAAAATACTTTCCCTGGTATTCACAATTCAATAGTATCTTGGAAGTAGCAAGTATTTTGGAACTTTCGGCATCAGAGTTATGCATCTGAACTAGTTTTTACATAATTATACCCCCCGCTTGAAAAGCGGGAGGGTATATAGTAATCGTTAATTCCGTCCGTCCGTCCGTCTGTCCGTCCGTCTGTTACGCTTTGGGGTACCCATCTCTTATCTGCAACTCCTCTCATACCACTGAATGAAATTTGATGAAACTTTCACAGAATCGTTATTACATATTGCCATTGTGCACCTCCTATTTTACTTTTTGATCCGACACATATTTTGGGTTTCCCGGCCACAGGAAAACATGGACTTTTTCACCAGTTATAACCATATGGGAGGCGGAAGTATCATTTAGTGAGCTCATCGCTCACAGTACCTCTAGTTTTAATCGTAATGTTTACCCAAAAAATGTACATTTTTTATATGTTGAAATACACTTCTGTGTACATTTTTTATATGTTGACATATACTTCTGTTTATTTAAGTCCCCTATCCTAAATAATATGGCGACCTAAACATTTTTTGCAATAATTAGTAAATTTAAGCTACATTTAATGAAAACTAGAGGTACTGTGAGCGATGAGCTCACTAAATGATACCCCCGCCTCCATATAGTTATAATGGCAAAGTCCATGTTTGCTGTGGCCGGGAAACCCAAAATATGTGTCAGATCAAAAAGTAAAATAGGAGGTGCACAATGGCAATATGTAATAAAGATTCTATGAAAGTTTCATTAAATTTCATTCAGTGGTATGAGAGGAGTTGCGGATAAGAGATGGGTTCCCCAAAGCGTAACAGACGGACGGACGGACAGACGGACAGACGGACGGACGGACGGACGGAATTAACGATTACTATATACCCTCCCGCTTTTCAAGCGGGGGGTATAATAAAAGCAATTTTTATACTTTTAACCATTCAAATTGTTAGGGTAGAAAAACCCTAAAACAACAATATTTAGATGATTTAGAACAGGTTTATCAGATCAAAAATGTAAACGGACAGTTATTGTGTCCTTTAACTGATAGAAAGAATGTTAGATAGTAACCAGGCCAACGTTGATGTTTTCATGCTTTCAGACATCAAGGTCTTGAGTGATAAAAAAATCAACGAAATTATAGTCTTCGTATCGCTGAAGTCAGAAACTGGGTGAAATGTCATTTTTAAGGCATATTAATATTAGTATTGTGTCAAATATGTACAACCTTTCATATGTCATTCAGAAGTTATAATCGAAGTTTTTTTTTATTAGGTCAATCGAGAAGGTCAAGGGATCAGAAAGCATAGCATGCTCGGAGATATCCTGCAACAGGAAATGCACATGTAAAATTGTAAATATGAAGGCCATATCTCTTCTCAATCAAAAGTTATAAGGAACCAGAAGTCTCTGTCGAGAAGGTAGCTATACTGGTTTGTACTTATAATAAAGGAAGAGAATAGGAGCATTTGGGACTTAAAAGTTTACAAAAGCAATAAATAGAATACATGTAATGATCCTTGATTAAGTCTCTTTTTGTAGCAAGATCACAATTAGACTATAATGGTAGGAGTAGCTTTTAATAAAACTTCACAGAATTTTCAATTTTAGTTACCATGGCAACATCAATCATCAAAATCAAAAACACAAAACTGATTATTATGTATCTCAGTGTAGTCTACTTGTGTGCTAAGTTATATTATAATCAGACTTAAACTGTAGGAAGAGTAACATTTTGAATGATTTTCACAGAAAGTTCTATTTTTAGTCACCACGGAAACACCGTTTATCGAAATCAAAAAACCTATAATCAAAATTATGTATCTTAGTGTAGTCTTCTTGTGTGCCAAGTTATATTGAAATTAGTCCAACACTGTAGTAGGGATAGCATTTTGAATAATTGTTTACAAACAGACAAACAGACAGACAGACAGACAGACAGACAGACGGACGGACGACGGACGTATTACTATCGCAAAAGCTCTTCTGGTCTCTGTCCAGGAGAGCTAAAAATTAACATTTTTTGAAAATTAGGTCAAACTTCAAGGACAAGGTCACAAGATCAAAATCATATTGTGTTTAGAAAGGTCTTGTCAAAAGCAATACATAGCTTTAAAATAAAAGTCCAATGTCTTCTAAAAAAAATCAGCAAGTTTTGAAATTTTTTGCATAGTAGGTCAAACTTCAAAGTCAACGATGCGAGGTCAAAAATCCTAGTGTGCTAAAAAGGTTTTTATTTGTTAGATAATGCATGTGTGTAAATATGAAAGCCCCAACTCTTCTCATTCAAAAGTTATGGTCCCTTTTAAGTCTTAATTTTGTTTAAATGGTCAAACTTCAATGTCACTGTAATGGGGTCAAACATCATAATGTATTTAGAAAGGTCTTATCACAGGAATACACAGGTCTAATATGAAAGCCCTATCTCTTCTCATTCAGAATTTATAACCAAGGTTACTGTTTTTTAAAAGTAGGTCAAGCTTCGAGGTCATGAGGTAAAAAATCATAGTTTATTTAGAAAATTCTTGTCATAGGGCCAATTTTTAGTAATGTTTAATTTTTTAAAATGTAAGTCAGGTTAAAGGACATGATACAAACAAATTTTTTTCTTTGAAAAAGATTTAATATCATGTCACAAGTTTAGAAATGTAGATGGTTCCTAGAATTTTTTTCTCCTAAGAACTGGAATATGAAAAAGACTTGGAAAATATTAGTAATATTTCAATAAAAAAAACAAACAATGAAGAACTTGGATTTGATTCTACAAGTGGTAATCCTACTTATACTCATATTTCCCTTTCCAAGGAAGAAATTCTTCAAAATCATATGTCAGTTTTAAATATTTTTAATATTCCACAGAACCAAAATGAATTTGAACTACCCTATATATATTGGATTTCAAAACTTCATAAGAATCCTTACAAAGATTCATTGCAGGTTCCAGTAAATGTTCAACCAAGCCTCTTTCGTTACTCCTCACTAAAAAATTGACAGTTGTGAAGGGAAAACTTCAAGAGTACTGTGCAACAATATATTCAAGTAGTGGTGTGAAAAAGTTGTGGATACTCAAAAATTCCAAAGACCTTTTGACAATTTTGCCCCGTTTTTAATTCGTCCTGTCAAAGTTTTATTTAAGTAATTACACTGAATTATATGAATTCGCGCCGTTTTAAATTCGCCCACATGAGGCTAGGGCGAAAGGGGCGAAAATAAAACGGGGGCGAAAATTTCCCTGAATACAGTATGTGGTTTTTGGAAACCAGGTATTCCAACATTCTATTGGAATTTCCATGGGTACCAATTCGGCTTCGTTATTAGCAGACCTATTTTTATATTCATATGAAGCAAAATTTATGCAAAATCTTCTGCGTGAAAAGAAGAAAACACTTGCTGTGGCCTTCGATCAACTCGCCTTTTAGATATATCGACGATATTGATAAGAATCGGACTTGCAAATTAATTGTCTTTGCAATAAAGTGTTTTAAACGTATTGAAGTCTTTAATTAATACTGTGCTGACAATCAAAAGACATCGTTTCATTGATTACGAGTGACGTTCAATAAATAATGTCATAAGCTCGATTACCTACAACATAGAAATCATATGACATTAAGCTAGACTTTCTCTCATTATTGAATCTTTAATAAATTGATAACAGTTTATGTGACCACTTTTCATCACATAGTTTCATCGTGAGAAGCTGGGAAACAAGGGCTATTCGAGACACTGCATTATAAATGTATGGTAAAGAATCAGTAAAGCTGCTGTAAAACTTGTTAAATCCCATAGAAAATTTCACTGAAATATGTGACATTTACATTAACCAATGCTTGTTTTATAGACAAATAAGCAAGTGGATTTCAATGATAAAAAAATTATATAATAGGCATCAAAAATGGGTACCATCCTTGCCAACAAAAATTATAACAACTTATACATGTATACAATTTGCCCAATTTCAATATATAATATCTGATGAAGTATGACTGACTTTAAGACACATAGCATATTTGATAGACATCATATCGGGAGTAGTTTACAATATTTCTAAGAAGCGTTTAACGGTAAAAAAAGCTTGGTACTCAAAGATCACCCTTTATTTTGAAAAATGAGTGAAAATACAGCGTGTAGGAATGTCGTAACAATTACTGTATTTTAAAATATCAATAATTGTAGTTATCCACGTTTGTTTCATATTCAAACAGATAATGGAACATGAATCTATTGCTTAAAACACTCAATACAAAATTTACCAAAGATGTACTTGATAAAAACAGCAATGGTCCGACAAGAGCAAAGGTATGCAAGAGATCAAGGACAGATTTATATGCAATTTCTTAAATATTAGTGGTACTGTTGTTCAATTTCGTAATCGGGGAGACAGTTTTATCTCTGGAGGAGTACAGAAAGCAATTGTTTTGCAAAAAAATCGAAAGGTTTATTAGAGGAAGGACCTAGAATCAGGAATCCACTACATTAAATTTCTTCATGACAGCGTCCAAACCAGCACCCCTGAAGAGTAAAGGGGTTTTCGGGATAAAAAGAAAGTTAATATTTTTTCACATCAACAATATTCGCCAGATCTTTGACCTTTTGACTTGTTTCTATTTCCAAACTTGAAAAACCACCTTTCAGAAAGAAGAAACAAGTCCAGGAAATCATTGGATCTGCCATTTTCCAGTATACTAAGGGTCATACCCAAAAATTAGTTCTAAATACAATCAGAAATTAGATAAAAAATTTACGGACATCTGTTTGAATCAAAAGAGACTAATAAGTAAAATCATGAAGACTAAATCATTGAAACGCGTCTTTTGCTTCTTTCCGAGCCCTGATGACATTATTTATTGAACGTCCCTCGTATGGTACTGACATTCTTTTTTAATATAATAGTTGGGCATGAAAAACATGACATTTTCAACTGAATTATTTTTACCCTGTGAATTTTTTTTTATATAAACGTGATGGGTTTTTTTAAAATGAATATTTTGATCAGAAACATACTTTTCACATCTCCTGTATAACATTCAATTTCCACACTACCATCAGCACTGCAGTCTCCAGAACTAAATGCCCCATATTCACATTCAGTTAAATTGTTTTCCCCTCCACTGCATTTTATATTGTTTACCAAAGGATTTCCAAATTCACTCCCTCTGCGTACTGATTTGTGATATCTTCAATGCAAAAATTAAAAGGAGGTAAACATGCAAAATCATGATAATGCTCCCTTTATCATGATTATGCGCTATATCATGTCATCCTCGATAGAAAAAAATTCTCAAGGCAAACACATAATAAGACTATGTTAGTTGAAAGTAAAAGTCTTTGTTTACTGTGTAGTTTTTCATATCAAGGAAAGTTTTTCAATTTGTGTTTATGCTTTTGTGTATATACATGTCTGCGGGTATGTGTGAAAGGGTGTACGTGTGTATATGAGGATGTTAAGGGTATGTTAGAGGCAGAGAGAAATAATAATGAAATAGAGACATACCCTGAGAATCCAACGCTATTGCAGATGACATTTGCTTTTCTGTCATCCAAGCTATCCTTGCATAATTCTCTCCAAGTACCATTTATATATAATTTAGGTTTAACTGCTTTCTTCTCTTCTGCAGTGGTTTCAATTAAATATCTTAGTGTGTCTGAGAAAAAAAATGAAAAAAAGTGCCATTTAATCGTCCAAATACATTTTCGCTATGCATGTACTAATTTTCGAAATATAAAATTAAACGTTCTTATAAATCAAATACATTTAAAGGTATATACAAATCGTCCTTTAAACCCACCATTTATTGAACGATAGCAGACTACCCCGGCTTTTCCTCTGCTGTAACAACTGCTGGATGGGGTGATTGATCTAAAACACTGTAATAAAGAATCTTCGTCTCCTACACAGTTCATGGAACCTAACATGTAGGCATAGTCCGTATCCTCTACAAACATCAGCGATGAAACTGGAAACCCTCTACAAATCAAGGTTTAACATAAGTTCACTTAAATAAATAACGAAAATAGGTATGTATGAATTTTAAAATGGCATTAATCACAAACAAAGACCCCGTCTATACAGCATTAAGCTGCAGATAATTTTCAAAACCAACATAATAGAACATAAATCAATTTGTTGAAAGGTAACAAAAAGTTTTCCGTTTTTCGATTACTTTAGAGATCCATATTCGATATTCTTTGAAAACAACACTATTCTAGTGTTACCCTGAAAATCCTAAACTTTTACACGTCACATCAGCGTTATTTTTGTTCCATCCTTCCTTACATACACTACGCCACCGATAATTCTTCAAAACCTCAACTACACCCTCATTTGGAGAGCTACCACTAACAATTCTAACAGTACCTGTATTACAAAATAATTACAAATTATATAGATTCTTCAACAAAAAATGATTCTGAAATCTAGAAAATGAATATGAAGTCTAAAATAAATAAAATTTCCATTACCTACCATATATTGTGTGGCTATAACAACTAACTCCCGCCTCTCGACCAGAACTACAAGTAGTGGATCCTCTGGCTGCACATTCGAACAAAAAATCTTCATCTCCATTACAATCCATGCTGTCTAAGAACCAATTGGTTTCATTCCTCTTTTCTACAGCTGGAAACGAAGTTGGAGCACCACTACAATTAATATTTTTTTGAAAGACGTGTATTTTATTTTATATTCACAGTTTCTCATCAAGGAACGTTTTGCATTGATGAGATTGAAGTTACCTTCTTCAACTAAATCCTACAAAGCCAAAGAAAGGGAATGTATTTTATACGTGGCCAGTAAATGTAATGTTAATTTGCGGGAACTGCACACGATGTTTCACGATATTTCTTTCAAGAAAGAACGGGAATTTAAGGCATTCTGAAGAAATTTTGAACATGTAACATAGAACGCGGAGTTAGATGAAAATGAATTTGTAATTGATAAAACTTTCAGATTACCCTAAAAACCCTAGACTCCGACATGTAACATCTGCGTCTTTTGTGTCCCAATTACTGCTGCATACTTTTCGCCATCGGTCATAAACCAAAACCTCAACACGACCTTCACCCGGAAAGCCGCCATTAACAATTCTTACTCTACCTGTAAATAATTTATAGGAAATGAATAGATTCGTCGATAAGGTTTCGAAATTTTGGATGAATAAAATATTCATTTCTAACCTTTTACAGTGTAGTAACACATAACTCCAGCTAAGTTACAACTGCTGGATCCTGATCTTGCACATTCTAACAAGGAATCCTCACTTCCATTACAACTCATTTTGTTTAAGAACCATGTTTTCTTCTGTCCATAAATTGGTGTGGAGACTGGAAATCCTCTAAGAAGATATTGAAATTGTTTTTATTTTTTCATGAATTTTGAAGAAATTGGTTCTTTCTTTTTATCTACAATTCAGGAGAAAAACATTTTAAAATGATTCACCATGCATCGAACACCCTTGTACGTAAAGTACTATATAGTAAATCTTATACGATATCAATTTTTATGCACCGGAAGTGCATTTTGGCAAACGTTGAAAATTTATCCAAAATGTTTATATAAAGAAAACTCTGAATAGCTGAAAAAATGTTGTCAAAAACTGTAGCCAAATACTTCAAAGGATCAAAGCTACATATGAGGGAGATAATCCTAAATTTTGAAATAAATTTCGAAATTTTACCATAGTAATTAACTAAATCCGTATTTTCAGGCTAGTACCAAAATACTTGCTGTAGAGAATTTCTAGCGATATTTCTGCCGGCCGAATATTATCAGAATGGAACTTAAGGAAGCTCTAAACACTAACAGAAACTGCTTTTTGGACTTAACTATATAAAGGTGTGCATATTGAGACAATTTCATTTAATTGTACATATGTAACATAGGGTATCTGCCTTATTTATACAGGAAAGATATTCAAAAATAATGGACTATTTGTGGGCAGAAATAACTGTTGTTTACTTACATTGGGAAAATCAATGAAAATAATGAATTCATATACTTATTCTTGGTGTAATTTAATGCTAAAATATTTTAATCTATTAAAAATCATGTAATTAACTGTACATTATATTTTTTAAAGTCTTACTTCTAAGGGTAGATCACTCTAACTGCATAAAACTACACTATAAATAGATCTCTTTAGTGTGCAGTGTTAAGAGCTTCCTTAAGATCTATTATAAATGTTATCGAAATATGAATGTGTGACACAATCGTATGCTCTTAATGGAGAAAATATCAATTTAAAAATATATTTTTGAATAAGACAGAATTAACTACAGATCGGACAGGACTTTCCATGCATCAGACAAACGGTAAAGTAGTGTAAGTATCAGTCACATTATCCAGCGATGGGGATAACGATGAGAAACCGATGCGGTTTTTTTTTTTAAATAAGAATGGTGTGGATGCCGGCCTGACACCTATAGTAATCGGACGGTGACTGAGGCTATTTAGCGAATCAGTGGAGTCATCGGTAAAAAATAAGCTGTAGTTTTAAATCAGCGATGTGTCCACCGATGCCTGTCATCGCTCCTCATCGGCAACCCATCATTAACACATCTTTCAAAGACTGGCCGATTTATGGCCGAACATCGTCAAGTGTCCGTTAAATCTGAGTCAATGGGGGGTTGAGTGGTGGGCAACAGACATCGGCTTATCATCGGTCGCTGTTTGACCTGCAACATTTTTTATCATTAATAATGCATAGCTGGATCTTTGTAAGTCCGACCGGCAACTACGCCATTCTTATCAAAAACGTATAGCTGGATAATGTGACTGATACTTTGAGGACAACTAGGCCGATGTGGACCGATGTTGGGGCATCGCTGACACCATTGATTACCATCAATTACCACCAGCCGGGAAATGTGACGAAAGCATAATACGAGAAACGCCTTACTTTAATGACCTATAATATACATAAAATGTTTAAAATTTATTAAGATGAAATATTTTTATGGTTCAGTAAATAAATCACTTTCTATTTTAATTTGATTTACTATTAGTATGTCAATCTACGAATGTCGAGTAATTTTAGTCGCATCCCTTCCCATTAGATAGGTCTTCCAATGTCGCTATAAAATTCAATTTAAGGTGCAATGCCACACCAGCTTTTTATTTTAAAAATCTTTGAGTCATTCTTTTATAACAAGGGTTTTAGCATTGAAAGGTCGGTATTAGCTCTTAATTATTTTATATTTATAATTATTTTATATGAATATTTTTTGTATTTTTTCCAAAGAAAATGAAAAAAAATTAATTAAATTCAACCAAGATGTTTTCGAGTTAAAAGTTTGTTGTAAATAAATGTATCATATTAATATCTAATAAAATATGTAAAGAAAGGATTGTTAGACTTTTTAATATTTTTCAGAAAAAAATATTTATTTAAAAAAATTAATATCTATACGGATTTTCTATACATATTTTATTAGATATTAATGTAATGCATTAATTTACAGCGAAAATTTTACAAAAAAGCGTCTTATGTTGATGGAATTTTTTTATTCATTTTCTTTGAAAAAAAATACAAAAAAATTCATGTAAAATAATTGAGAGCTAATATCGGCCTTTCAATGCTGAAACAATTGTTGAAAAAGGTTGACTCACAGATCTATAAAATAAAAATTTGGTGTGGTGTGGTTTGGTTCCTCCTTAATTGTATTATGTACAAGAAGTGGTCTAAGAGTGTTGCGTGAAAAATTCTAAATACCTTACCTTTCCTTACCAGCAAAGTAATATTGATACTCTTTTATGGATGTACAACACATCTACCCCCAAAAATTCCTGTCGTTTAATTTTCCTTATTTTTGTATATTTAGTACATGACTATATCTACTGCATGTATGCATATTTTGGATAAAATCGTTCGAGTGGTTTTTGGACAGGAACTTCCGAAAGTTATCTCCTTTAGTTGTTTACAAGGAGAGAAAATTTTTAATCAATGAACTACTTAAACCTTGATTTTTAATAAAACCAGGTTAGATATAAATGTCAAATTTCACTGGCTTATTCCTTTTATCATTTAACACGAAAACATAGTCATCTCTTTGATATACATATCATCAAAACAATTTTTAAAGACCTTAAGGTGAAAAACTATGAATTTTCTAAGCCTTGAAAATTGGGCATTTTTCAAATTCAAAATTTTTTGGTGAAAAAACCTGTCGTTTAATTTTGGTAAAAAACTTTCTTTAGGTAGCTGGTAGTAAAAGTAATCTTCATAATTTTTGTATAATTTTTGTACGACCAGTTTTGATTTAATAGCGGAAAATTACCCCTCCCCCTTTCTCAATCAATCACGTTCCCGCGCGTCTTTCAGACGGGGGTCGATCACTTTGTTATATGAATCTACAAATACACATTAATAAAAATTAAATTGGAATATTGCTTTTGCTTCAAAAATATATTAACTTACAAATTTAAAACTTCTCATATGTAAAGCGTATTTAGACGTGGATTTTTAGGCAATTTTTGAATACCCCTATCACCCCCACCCCTTCCTTTTTTGCGTCGCAGACCATTAGCGTTTGACAAAACGTTGTTTACAGTGCAAATACACTGGTATTTCGTCAAGAATCCCGGAGGTATGCATTAGTTTTTAAATTCGTGAATGCAGAATAAATATTGACTACTCTTTTTATATGTATCAGGAAAAAAATTCCTGAAAGATGTTAGTGTTTAGCCGCGTTATGCATTCCATATCACATGAAACCTGGATACGAATTCAAGTTTTGTTTAACTTGAATATGTTGATTTTTAATTTTATTTCTTTTATTTTATTCATTATAAAAATGGTCTATGTTCAACTCTCATGTGATATAAATGGAATAATTGTAGTTTCTTTCATGTCATTATTTCAAACGAGACAGTATGTGGCCGTGGGGATATATCGACATATGCATTAGATGTACATATTGTACGCATTTCTTTCAATGACAATGTTGTCGCTTCTAAAGTTAAAATGAAAATTCCGTATACTTCCTCATTAACTTAAAAATATCAAACATTAAACTCTTCATCTATTTCAATTTATATCAAATCCCACATTGATATTTTTTAAAATCTTATAGGCTACGTTTTGTTTTGGTTCGAGGAAATGCGAACCGACATTGTTGACAGAAAGTGAATCAGATACTTTTTTTACAAAAAGACCGATAAATCCGAAATTTGAAACTATAGACCTCATATACCAATGTAAGTATAAATTGAAAAGAATTGTTCACTTGTATGAAATTTCCCCTTTTGTATCCTTTCAGCAAATCGTAACTTTACTTTCTGTCAACTTTGGGTTCGCTTTCCTAAAAAAAACAAAAAGTAGCCTATAAGATTTTAAAAAAAACAATTGGGATTTGATATAAATTGAAATAATGAAGGTTTAATGTTTGATATTTTGAAGTTAATGTGGACGAATACGGGAAATTTTTATTTTAACTTTTAAAAAGGACGACATTTAAAGAAATGGTCAATACAGAGGGTGTAACTCTAATGCAAATGTGATGTATCCCCCCGGCCACATACTGTTCGTTTGAAATAATACATGAAAGAAACTACAATTATTCCATTTATATACAGGAATTGAACATACACCATTTTTTAATGAATAAAATTAAAGAAATAAAATTAAAAATCAACAATTTAATTCAACAAAACTTAATTCGTATCCAGGTTTCATGTGATATGGAATCAAACGCATTCGTATATGGACTAAACACTAAAATCTTTCAGTAATTTTTTCCTATACTATAAAAAGAGTAGTAATATTTATTCTGATTTATAATTTAAAAACTAATGCAACCTCCGGGGCTTAAAAATACCGTATTTTTGCACGTAAAGAGTTTTAAAAGCTAATGTCTGCGACGAAAAAAGGAAGGGGTGGGGGTAAGGGTTTTCAAAAATTGCCTAAAAATCTACATTTAAATACGCTTTCATAAGGGAAATTTTAAATTTTAATTATATATTTTTAAGGGGGAAAAAAATATTCCAATTTAATTTTTTTAATTGTATTTGAGATTCATATAACAAAGTGATCACCCCCCTGAAAAACCCCGGGGAAAGTGATTTATTGAGAAAGGGGAGGGGGGTTTTTTGCTATTAAATCAAAACTGGTCACAAAAAATTTTACAA